CGCAGAGAATAGTCCCGACAAAGTTCGTCTTCTACATTATATTCCTCTGGATTTTATACCGGAAGACATTTCGATAGCCAAATCGGCTATTGGTTATCTCAAAACGTGTACTTATTTGCCAGAGGAACTGACTCTTACTACATCCGAAGTGGATAAGTATTGGTTAAAAGTGAGAAATGGCAAGCCTTGGCAATCTCTTTTAATGTATTCTCTAACTGTTTTTGCCGAAAATTTTGTAGGCAGAAAGTTTTATGGGAATGTCATTGATAGAAAGAATGGTTTGTATTTAATTACTTTGCATAACAATTTCGGTATTGATTACAAAGTCTCTGTTTATTTGTATGGTCGTCATGTAAGAAACAGTCCATTGATAATAAAAGTTCCACCTCTTAGAAGTGACAAATATGGATCTTGCTATTCAGAAAACGCAAGTGTAGAGACTTCAACACTTAAAATAGTTGAAATACCGAATCAGAATAAAAATATTCCTAAGCTCAGCGACGACGGTATTTGCAGTCCATTCAACACAGATAACATCAGCTCATTTTTAAAATGTGAGTGGGACAAAAGTACAAGAAGTGCTAACAGAATGGATAATTTGAAGATCGGTGCTACTGGAGGAGATGAGTTTTGGTCTCCGCAAACAGTTGAGAATTTAAATGGCTCGACAAGAGATGATTGTACTCGTGCTCGCAAAAGTTTGAAATATACTGATGACGATGATGAAGGTAAGAATAAATTCACATCCAAAATTTGTTCTATATTTGTTTATCGCGCTTATTTAATGTTCTTTATTTTAAAATATCCAGAGAAAATTGTTCCAGTCACTGCCAAACTCACGCATGTGATTTCTAATCAATGCGGAGTGGATCTTAAAAATCCCATCGGCGTCGCCGTGACTAATAATAAAGACGTAGTTATATGCGACACAGGAAACCACAGAGTTTGGATCGTGGACGAAACCGGAAAGACAAAGGCAATATTTAATACCACGGATCGAGGTAACTTGGTTAGAAAAAGAATTGAAGGTTAAAGTTTAAGATATTTAAATTGAGCAATTGAACTTTCAGGTAAGAGTCTTCGCAGGCCTTCGGCAGTCGTTATACTTCAAAATGGGGATTTAGTTATCAAAGATAGTAATTCGCTTCACTTTTACGATTCTAATGGAATATTCATGAAAAGTATTGGCAATAGAATATTAAACAGACCTTTCGGTATGTATATATGCTTGTAATTATAGTATGAAACAAGTGATTGTATATAATTAGTTGAAAATGTTTTAAGGGTTGGTGCTGACGGAAAATGAAAAGTTAGTGACTCTATGCGAGAGTAGGCATCCGAAGTTGTTTGTGTTTAACAAAGACGGCCAGTTGGAAAGTAAGAGCTTTTATCAGCCGCTATTGAACAGGCCAGAAAATTCGAAATGTCGTTTCATGGCCACGTACAAAAACGAGTTGGTCGTATCCGATTTAGGTGAGTTTAAGATTATTTTTATTCTCTAATAAGTAGAGACTAATTATATTTCCATTGCTTTAGGATTAAGCACGATGTATAAGACTAATTTATTGGGTGAACAAATCCAAGTTTTTGGCTCTTACGGCCGAACTCCCGGAAATTTCAACGAACCGTCGGGAATCGCATTAGATTCCAAAGGTACTATGCTGATAGGAGATAGTAGGAATGATAGGATTCAGGTTAGTGTTCGGTGTTTTTTTAATAATAATGTTTAAAATTATATGCGCAATGAAAATATATGTAGTTAATATTCAAAATATCAGAGAGAGATTGCTTGTTGCTATAAAACCCTGATGTCCAATGGCTGACGGAATAGGATGTGTCTTATAGAGCCATATATGTCATATTTGGGTTTCAGCCCAGCTGGTTTTTCAGAAATTTACACAAATGGTTAGCCTTAGTTAATTGAGATCTGTCTTTACATTCCCAACTGCCTTCTTGTAGACTGAATCTATGATTGGTGTGTTCATATAGTGGAAAGTATTGACATAACTCCATCCCTCCTTTAAACTGTATACATAATTAATGGACTACATCTTAAAAGAAATTTAGATTAGGGCATCGTTTCTCATTCACTCGTGCTTGCTGACCTCTATTTGCAGCATTATTTAAAATGGCTTGCCTGTAATGTGCTAGTGATCCACATTAATTCATCTATCTGTTTATCTAAAAGAAATTGCCAATACTGTTAATAAGCAGTGTTGCAAAAACGTGCTGTTTGCAGTTATGAAAACGAAAGAAAGCTTTACAGCACAAATAGATGTAGCCTAAATACACGAAAAAGGCATAACATGAACAATTATTTTTGTTGAATGGGATCTCAATACTTTGTACAGACACCTCAAGCTTAGTTCAGCTTTTCAGACTCTGACGTAGAGTGGATGAGTTTCTTTAAGTATTATATTACAAGCTGTTGATACCAATCCCACTTCTAATATATTCCTGTAATGCTGTTTATTTTTAGGCTACTTCTCTGCAATTTTCATATCTACAATATATCAATAGCTTAACCTGACCAGATTTTGTTTCTGATCTGAACCTCTAGGATGTTTTTACTTAATTTGTGCCTCAATTTAAGTAACAATGTTAACAGGCCATAAAGAAAAGGGCACATTATACTTTAAGCCCCCCTCTCTGACATTGTACAGATTTGTCCTGGAAAATGCAAGATTTGGCATCATAAATTTGTTCCTTGATTTTAGAATTTGTTTGGTAGGTAAGATGTTTTTGTAGCGCTATTCATTGACAGACCCATTTATAAAGTGCAGTCTGTATCCCTACACCATTTCACTCACCAGAAACTATACTGTCTGAGTCAAGCAGTCTCTGTTATAGGCCTTGTCTTTTCTTGACCAAAGGCAAGGATTAGGAAGTACTGTACATAGAGTGATGTAAGCATGGTTTAGACTACTCTATCTGAGCTAAGTTGATATGACATAGTTTGACATGACATCACAAAAACCACGGTGATAGATGAACTAGTGAAGAACTTCAATATACTTGCACACAATATAGTTCAATCATAAAATTTATTTACAGGAGTCTCACATTATATAATTATTAACAAGAAGCAACACGACAAGACTTTCCTTATTTTAAAACTATTGACGTATGAAAACTAAAAATAATTACACAGTAATATGCTGTTATATGTTAGTGTTGACTTCAATACCAGCATAGTTGAAATGGAGTATAGACCTTGTTTCTGTGGTCAGTTATATGGCTTCGATAGATGAGAACAGTTTACAGGATTTACTAATAAATGAATCCTTACACTGGGGACCCCTGGTTACGCTAATTATGATCAGCACTCTTTATATGTGCAACTTTACTGACAGTCTTTCTGTGCACTATACAATCAATCAATCAGTTCTCTGATTCTTAATATAGTAGACTCTCGCTAATTCAGTTCTCAGTTATCTAGCATACTCTCCAGTGTTATCGCCTTTGAAAATGGGAGCCATGTCGCACATCCTGTTTACCTGTTTACTCAATTTCAATTTATTTCTTTGTACAGTCTTGCATGCTAGCGCAACATAATTTGCCCACCCGTCTCCATAAAAAACAACAGCACCAAAGGGAACAGGTCACATCATTCATTGTCTTTCGGCTTATACATTCGTTAATCCAGCAATCGCACTAATCTGGCACTCTTCCGTACAAAGAATGGCAGGATTAGCGAGCATCTACTGTAATAGAAACAGTTTTTGATGATTGTGGAAACATTAAGAATAACTTTGTTTTACAGATCTTCGATTGGGACGGAGAATATTTGGACGTAGTGCGGTTTTTGGAACCCATTCGTAGGCCTTCGGATATCACCTTAACTTCCGACGGTTACCTGTACGTTCTTAATTACCTAGACCATTTTCTAGGTATTTATAAATTAGAGATGGACGAAGAATAAGACTACATACAATACACACGTAATATTTGTCATAAATTACATAGAGATATGTTCATTGTCTCCATTGTTTAATGTTTATTTAATATAAAATATATTGTTCTTTTTTCTGTCTGCAAGAAAACGGACAATTTAAATTGTTTCAACATTGTGTTTATTTGAAAAATTCCAATTTGTATTTGTTATATTTGAAGTTTTTAGCGATTTTAAGTGTGCGATTGGCATAATAAAACGCAAAAAATAATTTAAATACTTTAAAAATGTACGTAAAGTTTCATGTATAAATAAATTTGCTGATTTTAAATTTATTTTTAAAAAATGCTTGAAAAACGCGACAGAAAAATCGAAAAGTTTTCGCCCCTTTATTCAAAATTCGAAAAAAAACATGCGTAATCAATTGCGCATACGAAATTTAAACAACTTTTCAAAATTTCGAACTGTAATGTTCGCCATTGAATAAACACTACAGGCCTTTTTATCAAGCACATTGTAATAACGTTAAGACGGGCCCCGATTTATCCGGGACAGACCGTTTTTTCGACTGCCCAGGCTCTACAGACATATTCGTTAATGCTATCGTTTCGGCAAGAAGGGAGATTATTCCTTAAGTGTCAAACGTTAAAAACGTCACAAAAGTGTAAATATTATTGCTTTTTTAATTTTTTAAACAACAATAATCTTAACAGTTTTCTTGAGTAATGTCATTTATGTATAAAAAGCTGGATAAGTTCTAGCGTCTAGCTTCTTTGTTGTTTTTATCATTGATTGTAAAATCAAAATATCGATTAACTATGAATTATATTGAAGATTCCCTACATCCCGCAGTATCAAATATTCAGCCAAGATTTAACTCTTTATGTAAAAATAAACAATACACCCATCTCATTAATATACTTGGATTTGTCATAATAAATAGTAAGAAGTGATAAATAAAATTGTAAGTATAACAAAGAATTCTTTGAAATTAAATTTTTTTTATTTATTTATTATAAGTTAACGTTTTATTTGCATATTTATTTTACGTACTGAAATAAATATGCATACACCCGGGTTGCATAAAACATTTTCGGGCTAACAGGGGTCGTAAATGGAAAACGTTTATTAGATCTGTTTTGGAGATTTATAAAAATTATTTATTTTAATTACAGATAAACAATTGTCATTGTTTATATTTAAAAATTAAGTGAAATAATAATTTACAGCATATAAATTTATGATATGTAAATCATAATAGTGATTTTTTTTCTTCCCTGAATGCCTTACATACCGGTTCCAAATTTTTATTAGTGTTAAATTTGCATTGTTCTTTGAAGGCATTCTGAAATATGATTAAGAATGGAAAATTTATTGATAAAATTAAAGAATTTCAATACGCAATTATTAAAGATTAAGAGAAATAAAATATATACTTACATCGTACGATTGTAAAAAAGATTCATCGCATTCCTCAGCAGTTTTTGGTCGAGGCTAAAAAATAATGATTTTTAAATTGTTCTGTTCACTTGAACATTTTTATATAAATAATTTAATTTTAAAATCTTACATATATTCTATCCATTATATCTTGTTCAAATTTTAAATAATCAAGTATTGTCTACAAGAAAGAAAATATATAGAAAATTAATATTAATTATGAATTTCAGAAGTCACAAGTTGAAAAAATGTCATTCTTACGGTTTTAAAATTTTGATCTTCAGTTATAAGTTTAATTTTATTAAAGCAATGTTGAAAATCCTATAAATTAGGAAAACAATTTTAAAAATAAATTATAAAAATATAATATAATAGTTAAAAAATAATATAAATAAGTTTATATAAAACTTACCGTGGTAAGCAGCGTACCTATGCAATAGTGGAATGTCTAAAAAAAGTTAAGTTATGATTAAAAAAATATTTATTCTTACATTTATTATTATTATTTTATCATCATACAGCGCGGTAACACTGTAGTAAAGCTTGGTCACACGTGTAATGTTAAAGTGCCAACTTTGACCCTTAACCTTCCAAGTTTTTTGTAAACTTATACGTTTCGAAACTTTCTGAATCCAAAACAACTATTAAAAAAGGCAAAAAATTCCATGGATGTTTGTGTTTCGGCATCTGTTTCGTTTAATATCTCATTACTCTCATCCCATTTAAATAAAGGAAACTTGAATATTATGGCATAAGAATATTGGAAGCAGATTTGACAGTAAGATAAACATGTAAATAAAGTGCACATTACACAGACTACAAGTACTAAAAGTTTTGAATGAAGGATAATCAGGAAAATAAGCATTGCCACTAAAAGCCTTCGAGCTACTTAGTCTCTTAAAGTTTCTTCACTAATATTACTCGAAGGTGTTCTAATGTTCGGCCAAATTATTTGTAGGCGCAACTTTAAGGCACAAAGTACAGCTCGAAGTCTTTTTTGTGACGATGTTTGTATTCTTAATTTATTATCATGGTGATATTGCTTTATCCAAAACTTCCTGTAGTTGTACTCTGTGTAATGTGTACTTTATTCACGCGTTGAGTCGTACTGTGAAATCTGGTTTCGATATTCTTATGACACAATTTTAAAATTTCCTTTATTTAGATGTATTCGCCAAGCTTTACTTTCAACTTAGTTCCACCAGTTTTTCATGGGAATTATCCCATACCTTATATTAAATATTTTAAATATTTAATTTTAGAGAATTATTTAGAAAATATCTAGAGTATGAAGATTTATCAAAACATCAAATATTTAAATTTTTCTTTGTCTAAATGAAAACCATAAATTAATTATAATTAATTTTTAAATAAATTTATAAAATTTAAATTACAAACTAAATGCATAGTTTCAATAAAAATAATAAATTTTATTACGAATTTAATGATATTAAACAATGATTTGACATAATTTTAGATTTTATCTAAACAAGTTCAATCAAATTTTTATTTAATATTTAAAGGGAATTAGATTTGTATATAAGGACTATTCCTTTATACACTATATAAATATATAGGCTATATATATATAATAATCTGTTAACATTAGCTCAAAAGTCAATTAACTTCGAAGCTATATTTTAAGATTCGTTAAAATGATATTAAAAAATATATTTCGGTTTATTGACTTTGACTTTTGGTCCCCGTGTGTTTACATAAATTACTTTAATAAGATTTAGTGTTGTTCTGAAGTATTTTTCATGTCCTAATATTAAAAGTATATATATATATATATATATATATAAACATTTTATAATTACAGTACAGAACTACAGTAACATAAATATACATTAAACATTAATTATTGACAATTACATTTAAAAACCATTTAATTTGGAAACGTTATAAATAATGATGCAACGAATATTCGGTTACTATTCGGCCGAATACCGAATACCTAAAAACAGGCGTAAGAAATAACAAAAACACAGGAAAATAATCATTTTGGTAACTTTTATTAATGCTGACCATACATTTCAAGTTTGAGAAAGCGCAATTGTTTGCTTATTTATGTAAAAGATCAAAGGAAAAGTAATATAACTAATTTATTTTTTTAAGAGATCAAAAAAGGTAACAAAAATCAAATAAAAACTACCTACGTATTATGTAGTTTAGTCATCTGTATACTCATATATAAAAGAACAAGTCCTGATAGGATAATTAACGCAGAGTCAAAACTACTAGTGCTAGAAACTTAAAAATTTGAGGATGAATCCCTTTTGTAAAGTTTAGGCGTGCTAAGAAAAGATTTTACGAAATTCAGCCCTAAAAAGGTGAAAACGGATAAAAAATTTGTATGAAAACTTTTACTGCGTGGGCACATTAGATCGAAACTTAGGTTATAAAATGTGAAAAAAATAATAATTAATGATCTGTAAAGCGTTTTTATGAAATCATTCCTTATTATAAACTTGAAAATTAAATTAACTTTTTTGTTTCATTGTACAAAATTATTTATCATAACTGAAGTTCCAGACAGCTTGGTAGCCCGAACGGCCCCACGCTTTCGCCCGTGCACTCTAAGTGGGTTTCATTACAAGCATTTAGCTTTCCGAAGTCTATGAGAACAATTATTTGGCATTGACGGTCGCGAATTTCGCGCCAATAAGCTGCCTCGACTTGTTCGATTATGTTGTCATTCAATCCTACTGATGTTTAGATCTAACATTAAGCAGGCAAACACGAACAGTAACAAAAAAGAACTTTATTAGAAAAGGTTAGAACTGTCACAGACATCCTCGGGCGACACCCGGACAAAATCCAACGAACTTTCGCGCCTTTTCCTTTTTTGACGTTGCCAGCCACTCTTGTTGGCAAGTGTTGCCAGACAGAGTTCGTGATCTTGGCAAGTGTTGCCAGACAGTGTTCAGGATCTCTGGCGCTGGCGGCCACAA